TAAATGTTCTGGTGGCTGCTGTTCATGTTGAAGCACTGAAGAATCTAGCTCCTCTTTTCTTACATATGTTAGTGGATATTCTATTTCCTCATGTTTGAGCAGTGTAGGTTCTGGTTCCTCCTCTTCTTTTTTAATTTGTTCTGGTTCCATCTGTTCCTCTTCAGTCCACTGATGTTCTGCTTCTTTCTGGTCCTGACTGGACTTACTTGCAAGGATGGATGGCAGGATGGCAGGAGCTTCCTCCTCATTGGAGACACTTGGCTGTTGGAGGTCTATGGGAACAAGGGATAACATGATTAATATAATTTAATTGATGACGATCTCATGGATCAGTCTAGTTTTCCATGGAGATTATGGTCTGTAGGCATCATGAGGTTCTTCTAAAATTAGTTTGGAGAGTTGAACTGAAAAGCAGGTAATGTGTCCTCCACACCAATGTGGAGCTGTGGCAAAATTGGTCAAAAGATTTTAATCCGGAAGTACAGATTCATACAATTTTTTATTTATAATGTATTCATACACTGGAAGAACTCAACCTACATTAAGACAATACGTTTTGTTTTTAATCTCACTTGTGACCTCACATTTTAAAGTTGATCAGACTGAAAAAAACAAATGAAAGGTTAGCGAGTTTATCAACTGCGGTAGTAAATTCGCTACAACTCCTCTCCTGGTCATTTCTGTGGAATTTCTTTGCACAAAATGTTGAATAAACATTAATGTTGTTTCCACATATCATCTCCGATGTTCACTACACTCTGGGTTGCGCCGTCGGCTATTTTTCCCCTCAGAAAGCACGGAGAGGAATCCGCGCTTTCTGATTGGGTATCCGTCACTTCTGCGTTCTTCCTCCCTGGCAGGGAAACCCCCTGATTTAGATCTGAGTGGCCACGAGGTTCTGACTGGACCCGATCATTCTAATACGACACGCTACAGGATGATCGGCTACAAAATCGCAAGCGACAACGTTAGAACGTTTAACATCCTAAGATTGTGGTAAAGGGAAAATCGAGGCAAAAAAAAAAAAATGTGTCGTGAACTGGGCTTAAGGAAGGAGTGAACTATTACATCAGGTGGTCGATATGCCCATGTTCTCCATCTAAACCAAGTGATTATTGAAGGCCAATATAGTATACAGACTTCATAATCTCTACTCTTTTGGTTTAATGTAGTTATTTCCAATTTGGTTATATGTTATATTTTATTCAAGTACGTTTTTTGTGAACGTAGACTGAGAGTTAATTTTATTTTTGCCTTTGGTTGTTTTGTTTACCAGTTCCAGTGTTGAATGTTATTTTGAAAATAATGTGTATCTATTTTTGGCAGGATATCGCTTGCATTATTATGTAATTTCCATTAAATCAGAGTAAAAAGGTCTTCAAACAATATTATCGTTTATTGCAATAACTTTTGAGACAACTAATCGCTCAGCTAAATTTGTTATCGTGACAGGCCTTTTGTGCCTTTATGAAAACAAAAAACAGCTCATCCTGCGTCTCCTTCATAATACTATCATGCTCTCATTTACAAAGTCACGTATGAGAATTTACAGGTTGTATTCCAAATTTCCAGCACTAATAACTGGAGACATTTACGAATGATTCATAAACACGGTTGTGCTAGCCTCTGTAACATCCGGGCTAGCAACTAAATCAGTTCCTGTTCAGCAGCAGCTGGAGCTGCAGCAACTATCGCCGCTGACGGATCTCTGTCTGCTGTGAAATCATCAGCACCTTTATCCAGACCTACCAGAACTTTGTCTCTGCAGCTCCGAACCGATTATTTCTGGTTTCCAGTCGATCCCCATCATTCTGCGCTGAGCATCGAGACCTTCCTCGTAGCAAATGATGGTTTTTTCAACCTCTGTGAAGATTTCTTGAGCAGCAGCAGTTAGCCGCTCTCTGATAAACTCTCTGAGATGCTGAACTGAAGACATGGTTGCTGAAATATTAGCTCAGATGGGACAATGCAGCAGCTATCTAGCTTAGCATATGCAGGCTTCCTCTTCTTTAATGTTTTTTGGCGGTTGGCTAAGAAGGAAAATACTGGAATACCGCCCCCTACTGGACTGGAGTGTAGACAGGCGATAAACAGGGGAAAACCGTAAAAGATGATGGTTTTATGTTGTTTTTAGATTTCCACAAAGCATTTGATTCTGTGGAACATCAATTTATTGTTAACACGTTGAGACATTTTGGATTTGGAAATAGTTTTCTTAGTATGTTCAACATGTTAAAACACCAACATTAACAGCTGTGTGTCTCTGCCTCAGTGCACATGCCCCAGATTCAAAGTAGAAAGAGGAATCAGACAAGGTTGCAGTATTTCGCCTCTATTATTTGTTATAGTCACAGAATTACTAACATTAACAATTAAAAACTCTAATATAGAAGGTTTGGAAATAAATAACCAGAAAATAATCATTAGCCAATTTGCAGATGATACAACCCTCTTCCTAAAAAAATAAAGAACAAATTCCTCTAGCTCTAAGGGAAATAGAGTTGTTCTCTCAAGCCTCAGGGCTGCAGCTAAATATAAATAAATGTGAAGTTATGAGTTTCCATAACTGTTCTGATTCTTCAATTTCCAATATTCCAGTTAAAAATGAAATTAAGTATTTAGGAATGTGGATTACTAAATGTCAAGCTACTAGCGTAAGAAAGAATTTACAAGACAACATTGATAAATGTGGCAAAACCTTAAATAATTGGCTTCAGAGAGACTTCACGTTGTTTGGTAGAACATTATTAGCAAAAATGAATCCTTATCCAGGCTGACGTATCCTGCATATTCATTAGCTGTCCCTTCAAATCTCATAAAAACAGATTAACAGAATACATTTTAACTTTATTTGGAAAAACAAACACCATTACATCAGAAAAAGAGATTTGCTAAAAAATTATGAGGAAGGTGGTATTAAGACAATCGATTTTGAAATTATGAACGGCACTTTAAAAAATTTGATGGCTTCAGTCCCTTTTAAAAAACGGTGATCTTATTTGGTTTGTTGTACCATCATTCATATTTCAGAAAGTTGGAGGTGTTGCGTTGTTATTGAAATGTGATTTTGAATGATCTAAACTCCCCCTAAAACTCTCTGCTTTCCATCAACAGGTTTTGTTACAGTGGAAGTTAATGTTTAAACACAACTTCAACCCCCATAATGTCTCACTGTGGAACAACAGAGCCATTCTATGTGGTAGAAAATCTATATTCATGAAAAATTGGTGGAATAAACAAATCTGGTCAATTACTCATTTACTGAATGGAAATGGTGAAATTCTCAAGTTTGGAGGAATTTAACAGTATGGAAATGTTTGTTCACTAACAAATTATAAGAAAGTATTAAGTAGTATCCCTGATGTCCTTTTTTTTGTCAGTTAAAAACAATTTA